AACCCCTCTGTATAGCGTAGTTAGCTGGGTGGTCACCACCCTAGGCTGTATTGGGTAAAGGGGCCGTTACCCCTTTGTGTTAAGGTGTTACAATAAATGTGTTGCCTCCAAAAGGAACGTCTGCGACTCAGTTGGACTCACTACATTTGTCTGGTTTACCTGTTCTAGGGACAGCATTTTTTAGCTATAGTATTAGGTATTGGTTTTTACTGAAACTAGCCATATTTGATTTCTGCTGCATGAACTAAGAACAGCTAAATCAAATGCAAACACCACTTTTATTATGGAGTTTTGTGCAATCAGTCGTGACACATTTTAATGTATATGGTCATCGCCTGTGGAACAGCCTGCCAGGGGATCTGAGGGCTTCAGAATCATTAAGCACTTTTAAAAATAATCTAAAAACTAACTTTTTAAAACTTGCTTTTAATTAGGATTTTCTTAATGCATTATTTTTATTATGTCTTTGCTAGAAATTTTATTTTGCTGACAATTTCACTTTTATTGTTCATGCCTGTAAAGCACGAATAGTGCTATAGAAATAAAGTTTGATTGATTGATGTTTACACGATCTAACCCAAAAAAACTCTTTTATGGATGATATTGGTTGCGAAAGCCTACGTGTTACAATTAATTGATCCGTTGTCATGGTCTATGATGCACCTGCTATTGCATCGTGAATGTTTAACGTGCTTCATGCTGACTACAAAAAAGCATACTTTTTTTTACAAGGGTGTACAGTTTATACCAAAAATGTGTATTCATTTACACGCGATTTTATGTATGTATCATACGCATAATAAACAATATTAAACAATTAATGGACAAATCATAGCACTCATTCTTATATTTATCCACAATTGAACTTCGCGTTAGTTCACGGTACATTGTTCCAGACGGCATGACATGCAAACAATATATACACATTATGGGACCTCCTTTGCCAGTACCAAAATATGAGAATAGGGTTTCCCCTTTTTTCTGGCAACAAAACAGGTGTTGAGATGTTAAAACACCAAACTGAAACCTTTTACAAGGAATAATGTCTGCATTAACCACAATACTTGTGGTCAGAATGCCAACAAAAAACACTCTCATAATATATGCATTGTCTTTGAAACTGATTGGTCCACACCATATGGTGTCAACATAATTCCTTGTAAAAGGTTTCAGTTTGGTGTTTTAACATCTCAAGACCTGTTTTGTTGCCAGAAAAGGGGAAAACTATTGTCAATATTTCCACACTTTGACAATACCTGCATATTCATTGTACAGAGTGTGCAGTACAACCAAGATGGAACTTACATGACACTAATAATAATGCATTGCATGTGCATTGGACCCTGAGAGCAATTTTCTCTAAAATGCATTATTCATGTACAAAGTACACGCAGCAAAAGGTGCATTTATAGCTCATAGGTGCTACTTTAACGATGCCGCAATGGAGGATATATTTAGTCACTGCCATATTAGATTGTCTGGCAGAATGTTAAGAAGTGCTTATCCAGGTGTCGGTGTATTCATATCGAAACGAAAGAGAGAGTTCATGAGGAAGCTGGCACACATAATCTCACCACAGTTAATAATATCACGGTTGAATAACTTTGTGTTGAATGCACTCACGAACCAAAGGCAAACGTCAAAATGATATCCTGCTCAAATGAGCATTGTGAGGCAGTGCTCATCTTCTGTTTACAGCCCTGAGCTAGGGGTGGTAAATCCATATTACATTGGCAGGGGTGAGTCTTTTCATAGGACAACCACTTCTCCCAAAAGGTGTATTTATTTATTTCATTGATGACAGAGGCATGATGGGCTTAGTAGTCAACCCTCAGCGAGTATTTGAACTCACAACCTTCTGATTGCGAGCCACTTGCCACTCCGCTGAGCCATATAGCAGGCTCGTAGTTTGAATGGAGTGTAATCTACTGACAACAGTTTTCTCAAAATAGTGAAATAATTACCTGACCATATTGAAATTCTGTTCTCCCTTGCAAGATGTTTATATGATATCCCATGTGGTTAGCAGGTTGGATGGTATTGCAGTTGTTGTTTCTAAGGGGCTAAGCCGGTGACAATTAAGATGTTTTAACATTTTCAAATTTACCTGGAATTTGTCTTACTCATGGAACATTGAGCTTTATTCACAGTAATTGCCTTGCCCTATTTCACACTGAAAAACTCAACACAGTGCATATGATCATCTGATAGATCATGTGTGAATTAAATTATATAAACAACAGTGTATAAACATTTGGTTATAAACAACTGGCAAGATCACTTTATTTTCTCGAATATGCAGTAGACTAAATGTTTTAAGTTAAGTTATGCACAAAAGCCCGGGAACAACCACAGTGCATACAAGTTTGAGTATTCTAACAGACACGAATTGGGATAAATAAAACCCCATTCGACAGAATGTTTGAACTGCTTGTATCATGCGTTTGCTTCAAGACAGCAAAGCTCGTATGAAACGCTTGCATGCGATGATATTTTCCTAGAGCACCAGGAGGGCACAGAGCTCTGCTAAAGAAGATTACGGCTCGAGGTGTAGAGTACACTCCCGCATAATTTTAACAGGAGAGACTTCGATGTTGATTGGGTTTTTTTTTGCAATACATGGTCAGTTATTAGTGTGAAGAGCAAGGAATTATATGTAACTGATATATAATCTCTTTAAGGGAGGCAAGAGTGCTGATGATGACAAACTTGAGTGAATTTTCATTATTTTGCTTCTACAAAGTTTTATGTTCTAATTGTTTTTACCCAGTTCAATAGTAAAAGCTGATAGGTAAAACACATATCAATGTTGTTTTAAGAAAGTTCCCTCGATAAGAGGACTGAATATTTTTTTTCTCCACTACATATTTTATATGAGTTTGTAAAATGTGTTTTGTGTGCCAGATTCGACTGCTACAGAAGTAAAAGAGTAGAAACAAATGTGGCCTCATTGGAATCAGAATGATCATCCAAAGGTTATAGGAAAATTACATTAGTTATTTGAGAGATATATGAGGAATAAACGTAATTTGTATGAGAATGCATGTCACTCACCAACTTAAGAGATTATAATTAAATCCTCATAGACCATTAGAATAAAATAAATTCCATTAATTACCAGATTTAAATCTTTATTAATTTCTTATTTTCCATGATAGCTGACTTACTCCATCTTGGAATTACCATTTTAGCAAATTACACATTTAATAATACTTGCATTATATTGTACCCATAATATAACACCATGTCTCTGATCACAGTTTGTTTTAGCCTAGGGGACTCCCTCATGGCAGCTTGTCCCTGTGCGGCACAAAGGTGAAAGCAGTACTGCCCTGCAAATGGGCATAACTATACCAGTATATATATTTGTATATTTCACAGATTGATTTCAGAATGAGAATAGGTTTCCCCCTTTTTTCTGGCAACAAAACAAGTGTTGAGATGTTAAAACACCAAACTGAGACCTTTTACAAGAAATAATGTCTGCATTAACCACAACACTTCCATTTAAGGAACAAAACATAATTTCTCCACAAATCTGGCTGCTGCCTGATGATGCCGGTTGTAATTGCTGGCGAAACTTTGTACTCAGATTTTAAATGTTGAAGATATGCTGTACTAGTAACGAATTGGCATGTTCTGTTTACGTGACAAACCTTACTAATTGGCTGTGTCGGGTGGTGGCGGGTTTAACGACATTTATATTTACGCAATCTAACTAAAAAAAACCTGTATTATGGATGATATTGGTCGCGATAGCCTACGTGTTAAACAGTGTTGTCAATATCAGGACTGTGGAGATATATCAGTGCAGTGTTTAAGCGTGATAATGGCGGCACCACCCCATCGGTGCTGGCGAAATGCACTTGCACCATCAGTTTTTGTGTTCTTGTAAAAACACAGATGTCTATAAAGGCAATGTGCTATGTTTAAATAATTCCGTGCAAAATGATACCTGCAAAATTGGATAGTTCTTATATTAGAAAATGAGGTTAAATTTAGGAATATAAAATTCACGCAGCCAACCTGTATTCATGCGGCGATACCATGGAGCTGTGAACAATCAGACAAGCTGTCTTGGCCGGGCTCTGTTGAAAGATGTATTATTCGGTTTCTTCTGCTCAGGTTAGAGCATAATAAATTGATGACATTACAGGTGGCTGGGTGGTTCTGGGAGTACACACTTTGTCAGAGCACTGAACTGGCACCACTGATATCCTGAGATTGAATCTCGGCAACCACCCATGAATGTGCCAGGTTCTTTAGTATAGAGAGTTGATGGCCTAGTCTGAACGGTTATGAAAAAAAAAACCATGATGCGTAAAATATATTAGAGTAAACACCTAACTATTTTGACACTTTAAAACATATTTACCTTCAGGGTTATAGCATTGTGTTGTGTGGTTGTCTTGTAATGATATTTACGTATCAACAGAATATAATTTTGTTCTATTTCCCAAGTATACTTAATGAATGTAAATACAACATTTTCTAGTATAAATTACACTAAGATCAATATTGCTTATATAAATAATGATAGCCAAAGGGTGCTGCTGTTTGCAAAAAATATATAATTGCGGCATACAGAGTGAATGCCAATTTCCTTACCATTACCACCACAATTACCTCTGCCCCTTCCCCATTGTCAATCTGACGTTAAATCCATTTTTCTAAACTAAATGAATAAAGCAAGCAGCCAAGTCTGGCAGAAAAATAGCGAGAAGACTTTGCCCCGATAGCAACACCAACTTAACCAAATTATCTGGCAGAAATGGGTCGTGTAGTAATGCGTGTTAGCACTGGCTATTAAGAAAGTATATTTTTTATGAATATTTGTATCTTTTTATACATGAAAATATATGTTTTTCATGAAAATGGCCTGCTGTATTTTCATAAACAAGCGACTCATGGCTATTTTTGTCTTTGGGATGCTGTTTCTTTTTGTTACGTTTGTTGCATCATTAAACATAACTTTGGTATTCCTGTACTTGTGCCTGCAGGAAGTGAGCTGATATACCGTAATAACAATGGAGACGTAGTCCGACTCAACGTGGAGACCAATGCGAGCTTTGTTCTGGTGGAAAATTCTATCTTCGTGAGTTATGCACAGTTCTCACTTCTGACGCACTGCAGATGTCTATCGTATTCCACTCATGCTCTCATAATTAAAATCTTTTTTCTATTCATGCAGAACCTTGTCATCGTGGAATTTTAATTATATTCAACAGATATGGTGGGTGATAATTTATAAATGTAATATTAGTAGCTAATTTTGTTCTAGATTAGCTAATTTTGATCGCATGATAAATTATCAAAGACCAAAAGCCCTCAAAACCAGATCATAGCCCAGAACTAGATACAAGCAACAAGACACTCAATTGAAACATTCACTATCTCAAACATTAACTTATCAATAATGCATGTGGTCCACTTCCTAATGTCAAATATAGAATTACATATGTATTTTTCACAGGAAAAATCACTGTTGACCTTCTGCATAAATATATTTGGATGCCTACCAAGGTGTATCCCCTGAGGAAAAGCAAATGGAAATGTATATACACAGGGGTGAAGAAGCAGTGACACAGTTGTAAGCACACTGCACTATGAACTCAGTTAGATTTCCAGCCATGGCTAACACTAGTGGCGAGTGATACCTGAACCAGGCCTGGGTGTCCCCTTCATCAACGAAATGGTGAAGTATGATCAAACAGCCCCCCATGATCAAATGGCAGGGGGAGGCTTTCATGTAGCAATGAATTTGTAAAATTACAAGTATGTATTTTATTTCATACGTATTGGCCTGAGGATTCACGACCATGTACCTCCCACTTTGTACCGGCCTCATGTGAAGGCTTTCTTGGCTACGGCAAAGAAAGCCTGATTTTAATACTCCCTTGCTATACGAATGGCTACCGGAGTGAGACACCTACCCTCAAGTCCCTGGATTTGCTTATACAATCTTCTACACAGAATAAGAAAAGCCCTCATAGTTAAGCCATATTTTACCATTACGCTGTTGTCCAGATGTGTGACGCATGCTCTATTTATTTGCCGATGCTGGTATTTTTTTCACTTTATTTTTAGTAGGGAGAAATATGCAATCACAGTTGGTCAATATTAAATGAGCTTCATATCAATGTGTTTTACTATCGTACAGTAATTTTACTTTATTATTCGGATGCATCCACTTCACTTGCATTGATTTTATGGTATTACTTTAATTAAAAGAATATACTGCCATGTTGATTCAGAATGCTTGAAGTGAACAAAGCGTTTGAATAAGTGTGTTTTATTAGCATTGTAATTTTTTTATATCACAATACTTTTAAAGTTCTTTAGAATGTTTCATCAACTGTATTCATGATTCTATCGTAGCCTATTTAAAATGCTATAAGCATGACACAGTTTCAAGTTTGTGCATAGTATTTATATTCATTTATACATCCAAAGAAGTGGTGGCATGGTGGTTACCACATTGTGCTATGAATTAAGTGACCAGAGTTTGGTCTTGGCCACAGTGGATCGTGATATCCAAACCTGCCCTGGGGGTCCACTTTACTAATGTTCTGAAGCATGGCTAAAAAAATAACATTTGTCATATTCACGTCTTATCATGTCCTGGACAGACTTGAATGTGTGATAAGATCCATTTCGGCATAAATGGCTCAGGAATGCAACGAGTACTTTGAATTTCTACATATTAATCATCATCATGAGCTGTTGACAATTCACTACTGGATGAAGGCCTCCTCACACCATCACAATTGTTCACAGTCCTGCTGTGCCACAATCCATCTCCTGGACGTGAACTGATCTCATTATTACATCTCCATGGCTGTCATCCTTGTGCATGTTCCCTCTTTTGACTTCCATTCCATCACCAATCTCATCCATCAGCTGTCATCCCATCTAATGTGTCCTACCAAGCCCACTTACCATTCTCAACAGTCAATGCGGTTTGACTGATTTTCATTTGTTTGCTAATCAATGTACTACACTTTTGGTCCCCGAGTGTAATTCCAGACATGCTCTTCTCTTTAATTTTTTATGCACTTTTCAGCTTTTGTTTCATTTTATTTGAGTTTCTATATGCTTGTATGAACATCGATAATGCCGTAGTCACAAGTGTAGTACACAGCCTAAAAATACAACTGTATTAAACACCAGCATTTTTGAGTGTAATCTTAATACAGTTACAACAAAACATGATTCTGAAGAAATTAAATGAAAGGGAACACCTGAACACGAGTTTTCTGTTATAGCCACCCTCTCACACCCTTTGGAGCCTGGGCTCACTGCCTGAGTAACTCTTGTCTACCATGCGGACAGCCCGAATGACTCTTAGCTTGGTAGTCTTTTGCACAGAAATCTAAATACAAGTCTGAACACTCACTGCAAACCCACATTTCCGATCACCGAATTCATTTGTAAGCTCTTCTGATATCGGTGTCTGCAAATCATAATCATTAGATATACATAACAGGGATATTTTTAGGACAGGGATGCAGGATCCTAAAATTTACGTAACTATCCCCGATCCCTGAATTATTAAGTAGCCCTGGCCCCTTAACTAGCCCAGGTCCGATAATTGTGATTAGCTCAAGTTTTTGTATCCTGATTGGTTGTGCAGCTCTGTTCTCTGACAAAAGATGATGTGCTGCTCACATGCTGTGAAGGTGCCAGATGGAAATGCATTTGTTTCTTGACATGATGCCAATGGCATAATTTGATTATAATCAGTATGGGGAAGAAAATGAACCGTACAATAATGGCATAAATTTGACAGATTATTATTGTATTTGTTTTATATACATATCCATTCCAAATTCAAATGGTCTTCGTGCTTAAATATACATGGGCCAGTGCTCATCCCTTTTTGAGCTTTGATCCTGTGGTGGAAAATCAGCATTTACAATGAGAAGGTCTCCCAACACGACAGCGACTGGTAACTTCTAACAAAGTGGTACTTTTGTTTTTATCAATCCTAGATGGGTTATGGACTGACATTCCTCATGAAAGTGACAAAATATCACCTGTAATTAATGCAACGTTGGTGATTTTGTAAAGTTTATATTGAGAGTAAATCGTCTTGTCCTCACTATCTTGACAGGTATCCTTAAAGGCAACCAAGTATCAAGTATCTCCGGACCTCAAATACGTGCTGCTGGCATATGATGTCAAGCAGGTGAGGCAAGGCACGCGTAGGCATTGATTTGTCACTCTGTTTAAAATGTCTATATTTTAATATTTCAGCAGGTTCTTCAATAGTTTAATATTAAAATTTTGGTCCAACTTAAGTGAACAATATAGTACTGTACATTGTATTAACCTGTGCTAGCGAGGTTTAGATGAGGTTTTTGTATTGAAAAGTGAATGTAATTTCAGTTAGTAAATTATTTATGTATCTTTTTAATATTAGGTCAGCATTATGTATTATTTAGTTGCTTGAATATGGAATAGTAACAGTTTTAATTTCACCATCGGTTGTGGCTTGTAATTCTCTGCTTTTGATGCTATGAACCCTTGAAGCATTGACTCATTGGTTGCGTCACTGGTGACATTCCTACCTCATGTGGTGTCTCTGAGCCAGAGAGGACCAGGAATAATACAAAATCACAAGAGCACAAAGGAGGTAGATAGTATTGTTGCAACCCTCATCAAAAGGGCAGTGCAGTAACGATTTCATTTGCTCATAAAATAGTGGAGGATACGTGATCAAGATGTTTACTTCTTGCAGAAAATGTAAAGAAATGGTGTAAACGTGGTTTAAGGCATGCGGATTTCAAAGTTTAAGGAAAATAAGTTGTTGGACAAATGTTTTTCTATTGGATTGTCGCATGCGACAGCGGCGAGAATTTCAAACGCAACCCCGCGAAAATCAATTAGCACTGCAATTAAACTGACGCTACAATAAAATATATTCTCCTTTGGAACCGTAATATTACGTTTAAGACACATGCTCTATGAGGTGAAACAGTGATTGCTGTTGTAAAAGTAAAAAATGTTTCCAGAAAATAGTTTTCATATAAAATGCAATTGTGGAGCGTTTACATTTTTATTTGTAGCATGATTTTTTGTTTTATCAGAGAACAGTGATAGCATTTAAAGCACATAAATGTCATTAGAGCAAATTGGAGCCTATAACAATTAAATTTTTTAAAATCCTGGTTTTATCTAAAGTGCAATTGGCTAAAATTCCAAGAACTCTACAAACATATGCAAGTGCACAACAAGTGTAAAGTGCACTGGCATTGAAATAATGATTGTAAAATAAAAAAATATCATCGGTTTCATTTAATCAACAGTGGGCCTCAATGAAGTGAGCGTATTAAAGATGATATTGGCCAAGATCAGAGGAATAACACTACTGTGATAACAAACATTACTGTGCCAAGAAGTATGAAACTTGTTTCCAAGAGTTTCAATGTATATGAAAAAAGTACTTCTGCAGACTGTATATTAAAATATATCTGCCGCGGTGAGACAGCTGATGAAGGTGAACAGATGCTATGGGAAACATGGTTTTAATAATCTCAGTATGCAATATTTATTTGTGTTTTCATTAAGTTAAGCAAATGCATGTTGTTGTTGGTAACATAGCAATCCTGGGAACCAGTGCCATTTAACTAAATGTTGTTATGACAACACTCACTGTCATTGCATCCAACTTGTCAACCACAATTGTGTTCTTACACTGCTAAAGTTAACTTCTTTAACCGTATTGGTAAATATATGCATTAATGTAAATATTTTAACTGGATACATGAATTAACATCTTACTCCATTGGATTGCATTGCAGTCTATTTACTTCATCATCAGCCATTGCCTATCCACTGCTGGATGAAGGTATCACGTTGTCTGCACATCCCTAACAGTCCTGCAATGCTGCAATCCTGCTGCCCATGAACTGGTCTCATCGTTCATTCTCTACAGTGGTCGTGCTCTCCCAGCCCTTCTTATTTGGCTGCACGTGGTAGCAATATGTTAAATTACTACGCCTGGTATACAGGAGGTCGTGAGTTCGAGCCCGACCCTGACGGCTGTATATATAGAGTTTGCATGTTCTCCCCATGGTCATGTGTAATTTCTATGTCTTCTCGTTTTCCCCTCCACATTTAGAAACATATGTTTAGAGTATTTGGCTGCTATAGATTCCCACTTGATAAGCCACCTCGTTGAGCTATCATTTGTGGCCAAATCGCTTCTGCAAATTAGCTACATAGCTCAGTGAGCCTTACCTGGTAAAAACATAATAATTAAAATAGTTTTTAGTTTGTATCTTTACTGAGCTTACAACAAACATAAAATCATCTTCGATGCCATTGTTACCAATACAATACACGCAGATTTCTCTGGGGAGCTATTACATGTGTAGTGGGGTGAAATACACGGCAAACACTGTTGACCGAGGGAAACCGAGGACAAACACGTGCTTGTGTGTAACATGAGGTTGCACGGGCGAACCGCCACCTAATTTGGGGGAGAAGCTGGTGCAAACCAGGTCGGCCCGGGGTTTCACGCTGACGCCGGAGGTGTTGCCAGGGAGACATGCGATAAGGGGTGATTGATGGCCTGACAGGCGCAAGGAAGGTCTTGGATAATTGGGAGGGGAATATAAAGAAGGGCGTGAGAGCGGAGCGAGGAGTTCGTGTTGCTGGGGACCAGAGAGAAGACGTCTCGCCGCTGCCGCTCAAACCGGGAACGGACCTCAACCCTCACGCGTCGCCGGGCGGGTTATGGTTGATCCCCCCGCCTGGGACGGACGAGTGAGTGGGTCTGAGGGAGCGTAGGCGAGGGCAGCGGTGGAGTGGGAGAAGCTGTGTGAGAGCTGCTGGGTGCGAGCCTCTTGAGTGAGAAGCTGTGCAAGAGCTGCTGAGTGCAAGCCTCTGTGTGAGAAGCTGTGTGAGAGCTGCTGAGTGAGAGCCTCTGTGTGAGAAGCTGTGTGAGAGCTGCTGAGTGCAAGCCTCTGTGTGAGAGCTGCTGAGTGCAAGCCTCTGTGTGAGAGCTGCTGAGTGCAAGCCTCTGTGTGAGAGCTGTTGTGTGCGAAGCCTTGAGTGTGCAGCTGCTGAAAGCAGGAGCTGCTGTGTGCAGGTTAGTGAGGTGTAACGTAGATGAGAGTGGGAACTGGTTAACAGAAGTAACCGTACAGACAGCGAAAAGAGTGCCCACAACATGTGCGGAAATAGGTTAATAAAGTGTAAGCAGGTGACTTGTTACAACGCGTCAGTCTAAGTGATTTTACAAGACACTACACATGTATTAAATAAATAAAAAGTGTGATCGTCAAAGCTGACTGAAGTGTATTCAACTTATGTATGGAAGTTAAACAGCTCAGGACGCTGTGCTGGCAATGCTCAGCACCCAAGAAGTGGGGTCACCTCTCAGGAAGCACGTGACCAAAATCATTAAGTATGTCAGCATGCGGTGTGCCACGTGTTTTATGCTGTGTGCAATAGTCTTCATTAAAATACAAGAGGAGGCAGTGTGGAATGTTAATGATTTCATGAACATTCAAACAGAGACTTCATCATTTGCATATTGATTTCGCCTTTGGAAATCCATAAATGAGAGTCTAGAACCAACCAAGCTTAATATCAAAACATCAAAACCACGTGGACACATGCTAATGTTAACACTGATCATAGCAGTACAATGCAACTTCTGTCATATAAAACTATGAAAACATTAAAATAATTTCTAAAAGTAATGAATGTACATGCACAACCTTTTTTCAATCCACTACTGGATGAAGACTTTTGCATGTTGTGCTGTCATGACCATACTTTACCATGCTTGTCAGCACGGGTTGGTGAAGATGGGGGAGCAGAGGTGTGGGGGCAGAGGCACAATGTAACACAATATATTACTGCACTCTCCTCTGATGTTCACGTGGCTTCTGTATGCATTTTAGTAATTAGTGTCTAGTTTTTTTTATACAACCCCATTAATGTATAATATGCCATATAAAATATCATTTCTTTTCCTCTGGAACAGATTATTTCCTTTCCCTTTATTTCTTATGGGAAAAATTCGTTTGGTATACGTCATTTTCGGTATAAGTCCTACCTTCTGGAACGAATTAACGACGTATACCGAGGTACCACTGTAATTGCATACACCCCCAGCTCCGCCTCTGATCTCGAATCCTGATGGGGTTTAACAATGATGACGTCATCCTGCACTATTTAAGACCGGAAGCAGGTGGATGGCTTCACTATTTTGGCAAATTGTACGAAGATGCTGGATGTAATTTCCAGCGAAACGGCGTACTCAAATTGTAAATGTTGTGGATCCACTCTACAACACACCGGTGCGCTAAAGTAGTGAGATATTTGACTTTTGCAAACGGGACACATTTTTGACTGATTAGCCGTGTCGGGTGGTGGAGGTTTGCGGCACATTTATAAATAACGCGATCTAACCCAAAAACCTTTATTATGTTAGAATGAAGTCAGTTTCATTCGTTTCCTTCTTTGAATGTACCACATGGACCTTTTTACGTACATTTTCTAGATTTCTTCTTTAAAAGAAAATCTCAGCTGGCTGCACACTCGTAGACGCTCGGCTCTCATTCTTCACTCCAATGCCAAACCTACCAATCTTCCCATCTCTGCATCTTTTGCCCACTTTTGTATAAAAGTCCTCTGGTTTGCCATCCACGTTTAAAAACATACATTCAAATAATGCGGCTACTACATATAAGCCCATTTGATGAGTTATCAGGTGTGGCCTCTGAAAAAGCTAGTATCTTGGTGGGCTTTACCCGGTAAATTAAACAGTTTATTGATCTTACCCAGTTATTCCTAGCACCTACATCTACCGAGCTACTGCCATGGGCAACATTATGCAAATGAAATTCCATAAAATACATAAACTAAATTGCAGTAGTGTTGGAAAATCCCAATCAGTTTTGACTGCACTAGGTGTGTCCAGCATGTTGAAAAAATGTTACTGGGTGCATCCTATTTATACAGGCAACAACCATCCACAAACAGCATGGGATACGAAATTTTGTTTTTAGCAGAGTGAAACATTGCAAAATTAATCTGGGTAAGATCATATGAAATTTTTAAAGACAATTGGTAACCCAATCACGTTCCGAGCACCTAGGTCCCAGTAGTAAAAAATGTTACACATTTATTTAATTAATTGGCATCTTTATGATAGTCACTAATGGTTTTAAT